GGCCGGGGCCCGGCGCGGGCAGGGGCCCTGCCCCGCAGCTCGGTGCCCAGCGCCGGGCACGCAGCTGCTGTTATGTAAATAATAACCCGCTGCTCCTGCCAAGTTTATGGCGACACTTGTCCTCCGGGGCATCGCCACCGGTGTTGTGCCGCCAGGCTTACACACCTCTCTTTCCACGTGTGTTACAGGTAAGAAAATGACTCGCCCGTCAGCGGAGCAGGAGTTACGAGCCCTGTCCCTGTGAGACCTCCGGAATTACGAGCAAATGCCTGGAGAAGTCCAGTTGCACAGAGCAGCGCCCCAGCTCTTGTGAACCCCGGGCATCGACGCCTCTCAGACTTGCTCCTCTGGCCCGAGCACTCTGCCAGCGTTTCCTACCCCACGAATGGCTACTCAGAGGAAGCACTTGGTGAAAGATTTCAATCCTCATATCACCTGCTATATCTGTAAAGGCTATCTCATCAAGCCAACTACAGTAACTGAGTGCCTCCATACCTGTAAGTAGTGCTTTGCAAAATATCCCTCCTTCATAAGCGATGCTTCCTTGAAGCGTTATGTGTTTAATATGGTATCTGTGCCGGTTTTTATTTACTTCTGAAGCGTTGCATGAAATGCTATGCAGTTTCTGGTGGGGTTTCCTAGACACTGGTCTACCATTTGGGTCATCTTGAGGGCACGTCAACCCTGCTTAACACCTTGCAGAATAAAGGTACCCAATTTATTTCCCCCAAGCTAGTGGTGATTGTGCTGGCTCTAGCACCAAACATGTATCATGGTGGCCTGGCTGATCTCGAGTAAGATCATTAGGTTGGGTGTGGTATTTTGATAATATAGCTATGCTTCTGCAACTTAAGCCAATGTATCTGTTGGCAGTGTGCATGATGGATACACCAGTTTGGTCAGTACTGGCTTACATCTCTCTGTGATGTGTTCCGTGGCACAATGCATAGAAATACTTGAAAGCTGGCAAAATAACTTACTTAGGGAGTAGATCTCTCTGAATGAAACTGACTCAGGAAAAATTGTTCAGGTTGTCTTATGCTCCTAATACTTTTAAAACATTTGTGTATATGAATTATATGAAACATACGAACGGTCCTATCAGACTCAGTCGGCTTACTTCCACAAGCTAAGTTACTTACACGCTTGATTTTTTTACATTTATTCCTGAATAGACGATAGTTTGCTTGGACCTTCTTGAGAATTGGCATCTTTCCAAATAAAATTTGAATTCTTCTAAAAGAAGAGTAAGGGGAACTGTATGTTTTCAGGTAGTATTATGTATATATTATATTATGTAAAATAATTTATCAGAGTGTCTTCCTGAATTCTGCCACATACAGATCACCTTTTCCTCTACAGACATAAGATTTCCATATCACCACTTGAAGTTTTTCATTTCCATCGTTGTAAGCTTCATATTTTGGCAACTAAACTTTGCTTTAAAGACACACCGTATTTAGTAAAGATCTGTTAAAAGCCTCGCCTTAGCATTTCCTGTCATTTCTGCACAGTGTTGTTCTTGCAGTTGTTATTGTCTTCACTGTTAATTTTTACATTATGGTGTTGTGTCCCTAGTGTATCAAGCACATAGAGAATTAAAACATATCAGTCCTGTATGTTGTTCATAGTACAAAGACAATATTGTTTACCATTATAATAATATTATTTTTAGTTTAGTTTTTGAGAAAAAATAGTGTTCAACTGACTTTTTCCAAGTCTGATATCAGCTAAGGATTATAATGTGTTTTGTGGTGTTATTCTTCTGTTTTGGGTTACTTGGTAAAGGAATTTAAGTTCAGGAGGAGAGAAGTTAAGCAAAGTGTACTTATAAGAATTTGAAATAAAACAGGAGGGGGAGAGGTATACTGGCTATTATTAAATTATCTTTCCCTTTAAAAAAAATTGAAAAATTCCAGCATTAGTTAATTTTTTTATGGTTGAAGTTTAATGAACAAGAGTAGCTTGTAAAAGGTTGGGGTGAGGGGAGAAAAGTTGCATCAGAAATCAGCTCAGACTTAGGAAAAAAAATTGTTTTTATTATGGTATCTTTCTGTTTAGATAATTTATTTGTTTATTTACTTTGCTCCCATTACAAAACAATAATGGCAGAAGGAGCATTTTTTTCTCGGCAGCATCTGTTTCTTTTGTTCACTTGTAGATTGTGAGCTCTTCACTGAGACAGCTCTGTTATTGCCTAGTCCCCAGATGAGCACCCGTGAATATTACTGAGCTGCCATATAGTTGCACAGGTTTCCTCACAGAAAAGCTGCCACGTGTTTGGGTCATTAAGTAGAACTGCAGGAAAGAAGGTGGTGTGTCTTTAAAGCAAAGTTTAGTTGCCAAAATATGAAGCTTACAACGATGGAAATGAAAAACTTCAAGTGGTGATATGGAAATCTTATGTCTGTAGAGGAAAAGGTGATCTGTATGTGGCAGAATTCAGGAAGATACTCTGATAAATTAGTTTACATTTTGGCTTTTAGAAAATATTTAAACTTTTTTTTTAAGTACAGGTATGGTTCTTCAGTCATATCCAAATAGTTACCACAAAATACAATGAATTTAACTGTCCTTTGGTATTTGTCTCATACTACTAATTGCCATAATTCAAAACAGTGTTGCACAAATGATCAAATCTGCAGATATTAACGGTTTAAGAAGCAGCATAAATTCATTAGATACTGGGAGTACAACGTATTACTCTGGACAAGATGAAAAGCATGTATTGACATAGATGGTCTCCAGTGATCACAGAGGAACTACTGTGATCAGTAGTAACCACATCAGTTAGCTCTTAATTCACATCTTCTGTGTTACTGAAAAATGTTAAGTAGTAAAGTTCTGCTCTGAAAAATGTGTGCCTTTTTGTTAAGAGATGTTTCTGATGGGGTTTTTGGAAATGTTGGACAGACAACTCCACCATTTTCTGGGAAAAGTACGTGCAACTTGGGCATCAGCAGTACAAACTTTCTTATCTCTGTTGGGAAGGAAATGCTTATATTACTGCAAAGTAATTAATTATTCTGCAAATTCACTACTTTGTTTCTTTTTTGCTACTTGCAACAGAATGGTTTTGTCCTATGGACTGAGACCTTTTTTCCTAGTCTGTTACACAGCTGTCAAAGATGTTTAAGAATTACTGGTTGAAGCAGGCTAGACGTGAGCTAAAGGGCACGTCCCATCATCTGTCTCCTGAGTCACTCCGTTGTTTAGTACAGTGTGCGCTTACAAAACCTGGAAAATAAACTTTCCTCAGGAACATTCTTCAGTGTCCTAAAAAATATCGGGCTGTTTACACAATCGTAGCAAAGTTGGTTGGACGGGACATCTGGAGGCTGGCTAGGCCAACTTCATGCATGAGGCAGGTTAGTTGCCAACGCTGTACCAGGTCAAGCCATGGCTCTGTATAGTTAAATTGTGAATTTCTAAGCGCGGAGTCTCCGCAGCCTCTCTCAATAACCATTTCCATTGCTACGCTATTTATTTAGTGAAGAAGTTTTTCTGAGTGTCCTACCAGACAACAACTTGTGACCATTGTTCCTTGTGATACTATTTGCCACTACCAAGCAGGATCTGGGCTCTGTCACTCCTGTAACTGCTATTCAAATGGTATAGGCTGTTATTAGATCACCTGCTAGCCTCAACCATGATTCACTTTTGGTAAATCGATATTGCCTATTCCTGATTACATTTTTGTCCCTCACGTAGTTGGAAATTGATTCCAAGGGACATGATGTGATCTGCCATCTTTCCAGGGAGTGAGGTGAGACTGTTTAGCTGTAGTTACCTGGATCATCCTTCCCACCTTTCTTACAGGTGGGCATAACACACTACCCTTTTCCGGTCATCAGGTACCTCCCATAATCACCATGATTATGGTGATAAGCTTTCAGCTTAGTGAATCCTACCCGGCCTATAGATTTGAATACCTCCAGCTCTTCTCAGTAGGCCCTAACCTGGTGCTCCCTGGCTGCTGGTCATCCTTCTACTTCCCAAATCATGCTGGTATGCATGGAGATCTCTGTCTGTGAAGACCAAGGCAAAAAAGATATTGAGGACTTAAAACCTTTCTATATAATTTGTTCCTAAGTTGTTTCCCTTGTTCATTAACAGACCCACATTTTGTGTGAAGTTCCTTCAGCTACTAGCCTACTTGCAGAATCCCCTCATCAGTTTTAGCTATGGCTGGGCTTTGGCCTTCCTTCCTAATTTTGTCCCTAAGTGCCAGAGCAATGATTTTATATCCTTTTGTTTCCCATCCTTGTTTCCACTTCTAATATGCTCTATTTTTGCATATTAATTAGGAAGCTTGTGCACAAAGCAGTTCTTGTGCACCAAGCAGTTCTTCTGACAAAATTCCTTCTACGATGGGCTGGTTAGCTCTTGAGGTCTAAATAAATTTTCGTTAAAAAAAAAAAGCCAGCTCTCCTAAGTACCTTACTTTCTAATGACAGCCTCGTTGGGAAATCTGACTAGCAGTTGCTTAAACAAGCTGAAGTCCCATCTCCTGAAGTTCAGAATCCTAACTCTGCTGTTTAACTTTGTATTCTTCCTCGAGATCCTGAACTCGGTCATCCTGTGGTCACTGCAAGGCAAGCTGCCATCTGTGGCTGTATTCATCACCAGTTTTTCCCTGTTTATGAACAGCAGATCAAGTGGTGCATTACTCCTAGTTGGTTTCTCTAGTATTTGCCTTAAGAAATTCTCAACCAACGCAGTCTAGGAACTTTCAGAAATGTCCTTCCATGCAGGAAAATGACCAGAGATGTAATTTTCAATATCAAACCAATAACCTTACAACCAGAGTTTTTTTCAGATTTTGCTAAAAAGCAGGAGATCCCAAAAGAACTTTACTGCAGCAAAATTGCCCACCCTCAGACAACCAAGCTGATCTGCTTTCATACTCCTTCTCCTGCAGAAGCTTCAGTCAATGGCATGTAGCAGGTCTTAAAAGTCAGCAGATATGTCTTATTTTGAAACAGATGATTTCAACCCAAAAGGTCTTTCTCGGTCACCACATACTGAAATTCTCTCTCCCTTTTAACAGTAGGGAATCCAGTCTGACTGTGTCTGGTAATTGTGATTAACAGGGGAGTAGTCTCACATGTATACTTTCTGAGAAGGGTAGTTAAGTATATATTTAAAGTTTTCTGTCCTGTTTTTATGCAGACGCTTTCCCTGAAAGTAAGTCCTTTTAAAGGTAGCTAATTAAATACTTCATTAAACATGCCAAATGGCTTGTTACATCTCTGTACCATCACTGAGATGGGTTTGATGTTCCACTAGCTGTGTGTATCCTGTGCCCCTCCTTTGCTCGCTAGATCAAAGAGTGATTAACTGTGAGAGAGGAGATCCTTGGAAGAATTCAAAGGATGAGTTCTGACAAAGAATTTGTCCTACAATTACCTAATTAAACTTTCTCTTGTAGAATATTTTGTTTAAAAAATGCAATATGAAGTTTTATTTAGGTACCTTGTTAATCAGCATTTAAAAA